TTGACTATGCTGGAATCCAGGAAGCACTTACTCTCTGAACACAAAACTGAGCATCCTGTGCTCTGTTCATCTGACTTGCCTCAAAGATCAGTTTCTTTGCGAGCTAGTAAATATCACCTAATATGTGCTTATTGCTTTCTACAGCTTACTTCTCAACCAGTTTCACTAACATATAACATATTAACATATGACATCTCTAAGCTACAGCCATCTCAACCACAGCTAACATACCTTAAATACAGCTTAAAAATCACTGTTTTTCCTTTGTTTCTCTCCATATATTCTTACATCAAAGAGAAGGGGTAAAAATAAGATAGTATTCCTGAGTCCCAGACTGAAGTCTTAGGATACTTTACAAAAAGATAAAAAACTGAAAACTGATAGTTTACCATTAATTAGAAATAATTTTAGCTTACTACTATCTTTGACTAATAGTTATCTAAGTAACCATCTGATACAAAGTAAATAAAAGTGAAGATTTTAGTAGTTTTGAAATACAATTTACAGAATACAAGATCCTTGGGAGACCTCTTGTGGTCAACACTAAGAATAACCCAAAAGGAGAAATTACATGCCCACTATACATCTGACAAAGGTCTGGTAGCAAAGATCTACAAAGAATGCAGCTAACTCAACAATTAAAAAATGGACAGAAGAGCTAAATAGTCACTTCTCCAAAGAAGACAGGCCCATGAGCAACAGGCACATGAAAAAATGTTCAACATCACTTATTGCCAGGGAAATGCAAATCAAAGACACAATGAGATCCTATCTCATAATCTGTGAGAATAACCCATTAAAAAGACCAAAAACAAAAAGTACCACTGATGATATGGAGGAAAAGGAACTCTTTTATATTTCTGGTGGGATTTTAGACTGTCCAATCCATATGGAAAACAGTACAGAAGTTTCTCAAAAGATTAAAAATAGATCTGCCATACAACCCAAACATTCCACTCCTAGTTATCTAACTGAAGACTACAAAAACACTAATTCAAAGGAAAACATATACTCCCATTTTCACTGAAGCACTATTTACAAAAATCAAGCTATGGAAACAACCTAAATGCCCAAATACAGATTGAGTGAATCAGGAAGATGTAGTATATATATCCACAATGGAATACTACTCAGCTATCAACAAAGATAAACTCTTGCCACTGTGGCAACATGGATGGAGCTGGCAGGAATTATACTAACTGAAGTCAGAAGGAGAAAGACAAAATACTGGATGGCACCATTTATATGTGGAATACAGAGAAACCAAACAAAGGATCAGATAAAGCCAAACTAAGAACAAACCCCAGAAAGTGGACTATAGAACTGAGGCTTACTAGAGAGAAAGGGAGAGAGCAAGGGCAGAAGGGTGCACAAGGGACTATGGTGGTGAACTACAGGTATCTTGGTGGTAGGTACTGTGTGGTAACACCTGAAGGAGGAGATCCTATACTTCGAAAACACAAACAATTATGTAAACCAATGTTACCTTAAAAAAAAAAAATTGTGGGCCTCCCTGGTGGCATAAGGGCTTAAGCACCACACTATGAAGCAATCCGAAGCCTCTGCAGCACAAGTGTGATCCCCAGCCAGCCAGGTAATAACCCACATGACGCAGCAGACCTCTCCTGACTCGCCCGCTGCTCCCCTCAGCAGTGTATTTCAGTCAGTCTGCCTGTTCTGTTCCCCACTCTGTCTCTGTGAATCCTCTCACCCCCCGCATCTCTGGCCTGTACCCCAACTCTTGTATGCAAAAATAAATAAATGTTAAAAAAAATAAAATAAAAAATTGTGGGAAGTAAAGAAAAAAGAATGCCCAATACTTGAAAACAGACATTCTATAATTTCAAGCCATTCTTCTGCCTTTTCTCACATGGCTTTATTATTTCTTCAATATTAATAAAACATCAACCAATAACTGATAACAAGTGCTGTTTTTACCTTCAGATTCACAGTGAAAGAAAAAGCAGATTCCAAATCTGAGGCACAAGAAACCACCTATCACTGTTTAAAACAGACAAGATACTACCAAAAACAAAATAATTTTCGCTTTGAAAATACAGTGCTATGTTTATTGATAGTAAATATGGAACAGATTTCTGGCAAGCTATGTTCTTCACGCCCATTTAAAAATATTCCCTATCCCTGTGGTTTGTTTTCATTTCTTTTTCTCATATAGCTTCAGTTCTATCTCAGAATGATAATGGTTAAGTTTTATGGATATTAAAGTGGATCTGCTAGAATATGGGGGGGGGGAGGATTAAACTAAAATCTAAATGCCAAAAATTAAATTAAAAAATAGACAAATCCACTAAAATATAGATAACTGTTTTCAGAAATAGAGGACAATCTTTCTAAGTATAAATAAAATATATAATGTTCAGAAAATGAATTAAAACATAATCAAAAATGTTTTAGAATAAAGAAGAAATCTCAAAAGCCTTAACAATGAGAATAGCTGTATGTGAGAAATGATACCTGAAAGGGCCATACACATAGAGTATACTAAGAAGTCCCTCATACTTCAGACAGGAAATGGAGAAAAAGAGAATAGGGGAAAGGCAATGCTGAAAGAAAACATGGTTGATTGGAGTGATAGTAATGATGGCTTCCATCTATAAAGAGCTTTCAATACCAGGCACTGTTTCACACACATATCTTACATGAACCTGATCCTCACAACAATTCTATGGGTAAGGTACTCTTACCCTAATTTAAAGAAAAGGAAACCAAATACAATGCAATAGTCACATAAAGTCACTAATGGAAAGATCCAGTTTTCCAACTCAAACCCTAAGTTACACAGCGACACTGTTTGACTTTTGAATCTCTACTCCATTCTGTCCATAAATAGATTAGCTTTAGATACTCCACAGATATGGGAGCCCACTATAAAAATAAAATAAAAAGTATACTTGATCATTAGTACAGAAAAAATGACATGCTGTCAATGATAAAGAGAAATTCAAATTAAAATAAGACAAAGATAGTCATCAAATATGTAAAACCCACATATAACACTCAAGCTATCTTTGGCATGACAAATGGCTGTTGAATCTCATTTAAGAAATAAACATTCAGGAATATTATCAAGTAATGCTGACTGTCAGCCAAAAAATTCAGTTTTGGCAATGTCATTGTGGAATATTTTGATATTTTATTGAATTTTTCCTTTACTGTTCAATAAATATAAATGGATATCAAAAATGAAACTGTTGATTCAATTAATCGACTTTGGTCTTAATTATATCTAAGTTAATCAAATATACACTCAGTTGTGAAGAAAATGAATAAAATCAAAGACATGAGATATTGGAAATAAACTTTTAGGAGACTCAAAAAACTTTCAGAGATTTTGTTAATTTTTTAGTTCTCTAACAGCGGTAATTCTTAAAGTCTACATAAGGCTTTTAATTATTCCAGTTTGAACACACTATCAAAAAAGGATTAAAAACAAAAGGGACTTGATGTTGAATTTTTCATCCATCCAATTAGCAGAGATCATTAAAAAGATCACCCCCAACGTTAACAAAAGTTCAAACAATCTTCCAATAATATAGTTCTCGAAATGTAAATTGATATTACCACAGGCAATCAAGAGTTTCCAATTATTAGAGGTTATACTCTCTGACCCAGTAATTCAATTTTTAGGAATTTAGCTTAAGGATATAATCAGCAATGCATGCAAATATTTCTATGCGTTAATATTCATCATAGCAATATTTTTAATACTAAAAAAATGCAACTTAACTAAATAAAATTGGATAATTATAACCCATTTTTATGACAAAATATTATGAAGTAATTTTGTTTTCATGAGTAGTCACTGAAGTATTAGCAGATGAAATGATATTTTCTAGGATTTCCTTCAAATAAATAATCCAGGGAGGGAAAGGATAGAGTACAGATAAAATGAGATTGTGTGAACTGAAAAATGCTAACGCTAGTTGATGGAGTCATGGAGATTCACTACACTGTCCTGTATATTTTGAGTATGTTCTCTATTAATTTTCCATAATAAAGTAAAAAAATGTATCGGGAATTTTAAGGGGGAAAAAAGGGACTATAAAACCAATTTACAACATGAATTCAAGTTTATAAATGTAGAAAGATAATATACATACATGGAAATAATATACCAAGAAGTTTCAATATAATTATCTCTGGGCTCTAGGACTTAACATTATTTTATAATTCCCAACTTTCTCTAAATTAACATGAATTAGTGTTATAATTAGAAAAATATATTATGAAAGCTACTCTGAAAGAAGTTCAATTCAAATGAAAGAGAAAAGTCTTAATTTTAAGGACTAAGAAACATATCAATTAATCATTTAACTTGACTTTCCAACTTATTTCAACCAACATACTAAATAAAAATCTTCACAGGCTTTCCCACATAACCTTCAAATTCCTCAAGATATAAAGTCCTCTTCACTTAAGCCTGATTGCCTTTCCCGTCTCTTTCCCATCACCTTCCTCCAAGTGGAACTGGAAGTATAGAACCTTCAACTAGGCATCTTCACTTAATACATCATGCTTTATGAGTTAAATGCAATTCTGCTTCTTTCTGTTGATTACGAACTCTCTCAGATACTACCATAACTACATATCTTCTTCCTTGAAATGCCTCACTGAGGCACACTGCTTCATTAATAAGAGACATGACTTTTAAGTCTAATAAAACCACAACTTGAAACTTGTAGAATAGATAAAGCACTTTCAAAATTATATAAACTTTCTAAGAAATGAATTCTAAATGATACCTAGAAACTGACAATTTTTAAATAATATCATTAAGTCTCTTCTAAAACACCAACTTCTAAATGCCTATATTAAGGTGATATTATGGGTCATTTCATTTTTCTTTTTCAATCTTTCCACTACTTGAGTAAAAATATTTTTAAAAGTAAAAACTTTTCACCAACTTTAATAAATAGGAGATTTGGAAATAAATCTGGGTTTCAGAATCAGCATTCTTCTCCAGTGATGTACCCACTTACCTAACAGCCGTGGTTCTGTGGATGAGCATCTCTGTTTGCTCTGACAAGTGTGATGGAAGCAACAACTCCACTGGCTGCAGGCACAATATCCGAGTTTCCAGCTCTGAACGGGAAACAGAGTCCTGGAAACTATCAAACACAACCTCACCTGTGGCAGGCTGCACTCCCTGAAAACAAATAAAAATATAATGTCCCAAATATTATATACTTTTCCTAAATATAACAGTATAAGTAAAATGGAAATAGTAAAAATGGCATTCTCTAGTATGTACTCCAGTTCTAAAGCATTTGAAAATACTTTAGTGAATTCCAATATTCTTATGTAAGAAACCAGATTCATCTTTATCTAAACTATGCTAGATGGAATTTTAGAGACACTCTGAGTACAAGTCCCAAGTCTTGATGAAGTATCTGTGACAAATAACCAAACTCTGCTAGGCCTCCGCTTCCTTACTTTGTAAGTGGGTAGCCTACTTCCGTCATGGGGTTATTATATATATCAAGTTAGAAACAAATATGGATGCTGTGAAGTATAGAACTATGAAGTTCTGTACAAATAGTTGTTGCCATAACTGAAGTAGTGATATATTCCTAGCAACCTGACAGTCAGAGTAGTAAATAATTAAAAATATAATTTTTGCAAAAATAAATTAACATATAACAAATTCTGAGTAAGTCCCATGCAGACAGTCTATCCAGGTGTAACCAAAATTAACCTCCTATCACCAATGCCAAGTGACACCAAAGATAAACTAGATAAGCTAGAAAAGTTAAACTAAATAGCAAATATAAACTAGAAAATTTTATGGTTTGGAAGAGGTGAAAAAGGTCAGTAACTCACCCAAGGTCACAAGATAGTAAGTGGTGGAGCCAAGATTCGAACCCATTTAGTCTGACTCCACAGTGCACACTGTTATTCACTATTGATGCCTAAGAAATGCAGGGGGTGTGCCTCTCTGGTGGTGCAGGGGTTAAAGTCTCAGTGCTATCAAGCTGTTGCTAGCCACTGCGGCATGAGTTCAATCGCCCTCCAGGAAGTTAATCCACATGGCCTAGCAGACCTCTCCTATCTCGCCCAAGGCTCCCTTCAGCAGTGTATTTCAGTAGATCTGCCTGTTCTGCTCCCCACTCTGTCTCTGGTGAATCCTCTCACCCCTCACACCTCTGGTCTACACCCCAGTTCCTGTATGCAGAAATAATAATAAATCTCTAAAAAAAAAAAAAAAATGAAAAGAAATGCATGAGGCTAGTTATAGACTCTATTAACTAAATGAAGGAAAAACAACCAATGTCTACAGTCATACGCTGCTGATGGAAAGTCAAATGGCACAGCCTCTTTAGAAAAAAGCTTATTTTCTAGCAATGCTACTAGTATTCATATCTGATTAACTTAGCAATTCCTATGCTAGGTCTGGACTCTTCCTACCCTAGATATATACACAGACACATGTATACCAGAAAACAAAGTAAAAAGGCTTAGCCGCATTTAGCAGCATCTTTCAAACCACCCTACTTTCTTCTCCTTCTCTGCTCTCTCTGGTTTTAATATATAAACTCCCAAGTCTTAATCTCCAGCTTTAGGACATCCCAAACATCCTGTTAATCATTTGTTAAAAGAAAGGTCAGGATACCTTTCTGCTCAACCAGGTCCTGTCACTTACTGAGCAGACCCAGTATGACTTCAGTCATGAGCACACGGACAGACCATCCTCCATTCACCTCCCATTCTCAGTTATTACATCAGCTATTCACTCTTTTCTGTTTACTAGCTCCCTGAAAATTATACTTTTCTTTTGCCTTAAGTAAAAACTCTAATAATTTATAAAATATAAACACTAACATCTAACCAATACCTACATTAGATCTTAATATTTATATGAACTATATGTTCAAACATTTTATTTTTATAGTAAGTACTGTTTATTTCACAGATGATTCATAACATAGATTTGTGATTAAGTAGTGGTTTCTAAAAATTATGAGATATTCAGGAGGAAAAAATGCATGAAACAGAAATTTATGGCTTAATTAAAACAACCACCCAAGTCAATAAAATACAACACTATCTACAGAAGGGTTTCATGTCTCCCTTCTCTCCAGAGATAACTGTAATTCAGACTTTTAAGATAATCATTTCCTTTTCTTCTTGGTTTTAGCAACTTAAACTTTTTATACACATGTAAACATGTCATATGTATACTTTTGGATCTCGCTTCTTTTTTTTACTACTTTGCTGTGAGATTTATTTACGTGTGTTACTTAAGTAGTACTTTCACTGTCACTGCTATGTTGTATTTTCTTTTTGTGATCTCCAATTTATTCATTCTTTTATTGATGGACATCAGGGTTCTTTCCAGTTTGGGAATATACAAAGAATGCTGCTAGAACTTTCTTAATTAAAGCCCAGAAGTCCTCTCTAGTGCCCATATAGAACATAAATATATGACATATATATACTTTTATGTTTACTTGAGGCATTTTTTCATCTTAAAGAATCACTGCCTACATTTAGTGAACACAAACAGACCAAAGTGTGGGTACATTAGTGCCCCTTACCCATGGAGGATATGTTCTAAGACTTCCATTGGATGCCTAAAACCATGGTAGTTTGGATTCCTATGTAAACTACTTTTTCCTATAAATACATACCTATGATTAAGTTTCATTTACAAATTAAGCACAGTAATTAACAATAGCTAATAAAACAATTATAAATTTATACTGTAGTAAAAGATACATGAATGTGATCTCCCTCTCAATACCTTCATTTTTTTTTTAAAGTATAGTTTTTTTTTTAAGATTTATTTATTTTTATACAAGAACTGGGGTATAGGCCAGAGGTACAGGAGGGTGAGACGATTCACCAGAGACAGAGTGGGGAACAGAAAAGCAGACAAACTGAAATACATCGCTGAGGGGAGCAGCAGGCGAGACAGGAGAGGTCTGCCCCGCCATGTGGGTTTCTCCCTGGCCAGCAGGGAATCGAACGGGCACTGCAGAGGCTGCAGACAGCTTCACAGCGCTGCGCTCAATCCACTGCGCCACCAGGGAGGCGCTCAATATCTTTATTTTTCAAAGATTTATTTATTTATGCATACAAGAACTGGGGCGCAGGCCAGAGGTGCGGGGGATGAGAGGATTCACCAGAGACAGAGTGGGGAACAGAACAGGCAGATCGTCTGAAATACACTGCTGAGGGAAGCAGCAGGTGAGACAGGAGAGGTCTGCTATGCCATGGGGGTCAGCTCCCTAGTTGGGGATCAAATTCATGCTGCAGTGGCTGCAGATAGCTTCATAGTGCTGTCACTTAACCCCTTGCGTTACCAGTGAGGCCCAACCCTCTCAAAATTATCTTGTGAGTAATATTTTTTTGAATGGAGTTTGAGGTTGGACAAATCGCAGAAAGCAAAACTGTAAATAAGGGAGGACTACTATACATACAGTTTATTTTCTAATCTGCAACCCAAACTTATAAGAGCTATTTAGAGAATTCAAATAACCAATTTATGAGTCAGCCAAATTCCCTTTGCTTTTTTTAAACCAGAGAATGGCCTATATTGTTATTCCTTCAATACCTATTACTCTGTGTGATATGTGACACTGAGAAACCCTAAGTCAGTCTATACAAAACTGCATTGTTCTGACTGAATGCAGAGGATCTAATCACAGTAGTAATAAAACAATAAAGCCTTTGATTTCAGACTATCAGCTTGGAAAAGGTGACTGTTAGGTAGTAACTAAAGAACATGTGATATATCACAATAAAAATAATCCAGGAGGAACAGTACTGAGGACAAAGGAAGATGAGATACACTGCTGCCACACTGAGTTGGAGAAGTCAGGGCAAATTCTGAGTGCCCCGTCCAATATATTTACCCAGGAGCCAGGGGGATAGGAGAGACCCACAGTCTAGACCTAGAGAACTGGATGTCTTCAGTCCAAACATGTCCCAAGAAAACACTTTATTGGCAAATTTTCATTTCTCTTTTTTCACATCCCAGTTTATATACTAGGTTAACTTTGGCAGCAGGCCAGAAGTTATTTCTAAAAGCACTAAGTAGGAGTTGTATACTTACCAACTCTGTTCTTTAAACTGACTTTCAGATAAATATAAAATAGACCTTACATATGTTAATGCTTAAAAGCAAACGAAGTTACTATTTATAAATATATTGAATTGCCCATGGCTAATTAAAAGTACTTTGCAAGGATACAAAAGTCATTTAGAGTCATCTAACAGTAATGTAAATGCTGAGAGAAAGGCTTACAGGTTAAGCAAATGTCAAGTTAGCACAGCCAGAATAAGTTATTCAAAGGCACTTCAGAGACATTTGGATTGTGAGAATTTTTGTTGATATTGAAATAGGACATCAAAGGCCCTCTCTGAAGGGTCCTAAAGCTTGTAAGATTTTTGCAAAGTAAAGTTGGGTACTTATAAAGAGTCAAATTTACTCACAAATTGCAAGAAAGCAAGGTCAATAAAAGTATCATTCACAAATTATATTTATCTGAAAGACTTATTATAAATATTCCAAACACTAAGTATGGAGTTTTGTAATGACCAATTATCATTTTCTCTTAACTATCCTTTACTTTTAATCTAATACATCAATTCCACAATCATTTGTATTTAACTGCAAATCTGTAAAATCCTTTACCATCCATACATGTGTTGGCTTAATGTTTATTATGCTATCTGTATGTTGTCCACATGCATGCCTGTCACTATGTGTATCTTTACTATTAAATTTCTAGAGCTTATGAACAGAAACTATGTGAATCTCTCCGCAGTATTAGAACACCAGAAATTTGTAGGTACTGATTTAACATACAATGAGGAAACATTTTTCTAGCACAACTGCTGGAGGGCACACTTCATTACATATTCTGATTATAAACCATTTATTACTCACACAAGAGATATTGTGAACATCTATCATTAATTCTTCACCTACAAAGTACTTACCACAATTCCAATGAAAATGTCCCCCTTTTTTTTGTCCTTAATGCGTTCCTTATTTTCACAGATACAGAGAAGATAGCTGTTAGAAGTATCAGTCATTATCTCATCAACATTTACACTATCATCGAGCTTGATTAGAGGATTCACATGTAATAACTATTAAGGAAAAATATAAGCTACATTCCCTTATGTTAATTATTTTCTCTTTTAAAACAATGATTCCTCTTCCTACTCATTTTTGGTTTGTGCAAAAATCTTCCTTCTTCTGATTTACTCTAATCATAGTCATATAATTATCTTTCCTAAGTTTTAAGGCTCATAAGAACAGATAACTATCATCTTCTCACTTTCTAAGGCCCAGGAGAGTACCTAAGATGTTGTGGAAGCCCAAATATTAACTACCTTCTTTATTTGGATAATGCTACTGAGACTTGAATCCTTAACAATACCACAATGTTCCATTCTATAAGTCAAAGCTAAATACACTAAGATAATGTAAATTACTATCCTCTGTTAAAGTGGCTAACAGTTCCACAAAATTGCAGAATTTTTAAAAGAAAACCAGGCCAGAAGATACATAGTGCGATTGGAGTGTGTGTGTGAGAGAGAGAGAGAGAGAGAGAAAGAGAGAGAGAGAGAGAGTGTGTGTGTGTGTGTAGCAAGTATATTACCAGCATAAACGCTTATTTTGGATGAAGAGACATCCAATTTCGGCATCAGCAGATAAGATCTATGACAGCAGCAAAAGTCAGGGTAGGTATTATTTTAGAAGCAGTATTCAAATAAGAGACTCAAGTTCAGGCAAAAGAAACAAAAATTACCAGGTTCTTATAGCCTAATTAGCTTAGAACAACAAAATGCTGTTAATAGTTTGGAATCCATTCAGTGTGATAGTCATAACCTATTCATGACATTAATAGAGCAAAACAGTCTTTACAATTTGGGTAGACACTAAGAAGGTCTCAATATTAGCATATTTGTAATGAACAAAAACAGAAATATTTTATGAAACACACAATAAATGAAGATGCCCTACTATTAGGTTTTATAAGCAGTTAACTATTAACTTTGTAGCTTTCTTTTCATATTGACATTAATAAGTAATTAATTAATAAGTAATTTCTTAAGTTTGGACTCTAGGAAGTGGTTGTAGGCCATAAGCACCTAACCACTCCCACAAAAGTCTAGAGAAGATGTGTTTCCCAGTCATTGCTAATCTACCTTCTTCATCTTTTAGCAGTTTTCTTGCTCTTAAAGTACAATGAACTCACCTTTTACTATGGCATTTGAAAAAGGCTTGTTTCCAGCCATTATAAACCCTTCCCTCTTCAGTAGTGCACTAATCAAAGGTCAAAGAAACAAACCATCCTGCCTCCTCTCATCAAAAAGGCATCCATTCAGAAGAGGTTTAAAAATACTGTGATTTAAAACAAAGCCTTTGTAACATTTAAGAGGAAAGAGGATATCTTCTCCAATAAGTGTAGATTTTGTATAAAGAGCAGTCAACTTTCGGGTAAAGAGTGAACTTTTATTGTCCCCGATGGCCTTTAATGCTGCTGTTTCAGTTTGCTTCACAACTCCCACCTTCAAAATAAGAAATATCAAATATCAAATATGATGGAAATTTTAAAAAATTCAATTTTAAGATTAATACTGAAACATTTACCAGTTTTTTTAATTTAATCTACTACATTAAAATTCATGAAAATACAATGCTAACAATTATGACACCTTCATTTTCCCAAAATGCTAAATTCAAAAACCAACTATAGCCTACCACCTAATAATATGTTTCTAATGTAAAAGAATCCAATTCCCTTCTCCCACAAGTTAAAGCCACAGCTGACCTTATATCCTTTTGACACAAGGCGTCGTACATGAACAAACAATCTGTGAGTAGGTATGCTTGCTGTCATAAAGTTGTGATCTAAATGGCAATAAATATTGAGCTCCCGAGCTGCAATCTAAAAATTTAAAAAAGAGAATATCATTAAATTTGTATTTCAAGATTCCCTATGTGGTGCTTGTTCGCTTTATTAAAAACCCATCAACACATATAGTTAGAATTTGTATAGGTGTGTTCTCTATGTTCTAGCAACAAAAGGTTTAAAATACATTTCCTGTGCAGAAGTCTACGGTTTAACCTATTTTTGGTGGCTCCCATGGCCTATCTAAGGGCCAACATCTGTAGCCATAAACAATTCAGAAAACAAGACAGGTCTCCAATATCTTTAGATCTATCAAATCCTCACGAGTGGTGAGTTTTCCGGATATAAGGACTACTCAATGCAACAAGAAATGAAACTGTAATAAAATAAAAATTTGCGGGTCTCCCCTAGTGGTGCAGCGGTTGAGCACTGGGTTGTAAAGCTGCCCGCAGCCTCTGCAGCGCCGGTTTGATCCCCAGCCACCAGGTGAGGGTCCCACATGGCATGCAGACCTCTCCTGCCGCCCGCTGCTCCCCTCAGCAGTGTACTTCGTCAGTCTGCCTGTTCTGCTCCCTGCTCTGGCTCTGGTGAATTCTCTCACCCTCCCGTGCTTCTGATTGTACCTAGTGCTTGTATAAATAAATAAATAAATCTTAAAAAAAAAAAAAAATTGCTTCGTGACACATGCAAATAACCAAGACCTAGGAGATACTACAGAGTATACACATACTATAAGCTTATTTGGACAGATGGCATTTTTGGGGAAGTGAGAAGACAACTCTGGTCTGGTTAGTTAATGATATGTGCGTGACAGGAATGCAGAACCAGGCAGCATTGCCTGACTCCCTGCTTTTCTTCTAGAAAGCACCATAGCTCAGATATTATCCACTGGAGCCATGGAACCCTCATTTCAACACCCTTGCTCCCTTACCCCTCCATCCCTGCCCTGTATTAGTTCATCATTTCAAGGGAGCAAAACATTACTTTTCACTGTGATTAAGCCTTAACTCATCACTCAATCTAAAGAAAAAGGCAGACAACAGCATTTCCTCTCACCCCTTTGCCTACAGGATGCCAACTACATACTTGTTCCTGTTCCTATCCTTAGGAAACACATAGACTCTGTTTCAAAGTCTAATTTCATAATACAGAACATAGTACAATGCCATCTGGAGTATAGAACACCACTTTTCTACAACAACAGGATTTAGGAAACTGGAAGAAGAAAAGTTAACAAAGTCTTTACTTCCCAATCATGAGGCAGCAAACAGGCTACCACATCACTCTCTGATGATACATGATCCAACCAGACCTAAAATTATGTAATAATCACAATCAATCATGACTCCTATAAAGCATCAACAGCAATGTTTTCCCTATGCTTGTCCATTAAATGCTAAAATCCACTTTCTAATTTTCTTTGCCTCACTGGGCTTGTAAGCAAGCAGGTGAATGATGCCTTACTTGTTTCCACACAAGTCTAACATCTACTAAGTTTGCTTGTTTTTATTTAGTTTTTACTTTAAGTGACAACATTTTTTAAAGGGAAATATTAACTTTTCTAAGATCAGAAAATGAAACAAAAATACAGGAAAATATTTAAGAAAAACATGGAAGTATTTGAAAATACAACTTACCTCTGCATCTTCACCAAAGAATCTATACTTATATCCACATTCCACACATAAAATTGCATCTTTTTGCTGCTGCTTCATTTCTATGTATTGTAACTCTAATGGTGTGTAGATGCATTTGGTTCGTCTGTTAGATGGTTTAGAATCAGTTTTCTGTAAATTTTCATAACTCCTATGTGATGATTCAAAATGATTAAGATCCAAAAGTGCCTTGTCCTGGCAACCAAAAGATTTTTATAGTTTAAAAAGTATTCACCATAATCATGGTTCTCAGTGAGAAAGAATGCAAATTAGGCACAAAGCTAATAACTGATGAACCTACAGAAATACACAATAGTTAGGCAAATTTTTGTGTAGGCTTGAATTTTTTTTAAAGTAAAAGACTAGGGCCTCCCTGATGGCACAAGGGGTTAAGCACCGCACTATGAAGCAATCCGAAGCCTCGGCAGCACGAGTTCGATCCCTGGCCTGCCAGGGAGCAACCCACATGGTGCAGCAGACCTCTCCTGTCTTGCCCGCTACTTCCCTCAGCAGTGTATTTAAGTAGTCTGCCTGTTCTGTTTCCCACTCTGTCTCTGGTGAATCCTCTCACCCCCTGCATCTCTGGCCTGTGCACCAGCTCTTGTATGCATATATAAATAAAGCTTTAAAATAAATAAATAAATAAAAGACTAAAAAAATGAGCCAAACTAAGCTACTATATAATTATTTAAGCAAATGTTGAAAGCCTAAGCATCTAAAGTTTTATATACTTCCCATTAAATTTGACTTATTGAAACCTATTATAATTATCATTTTTCTTTTATTTATTCCCAAAAGTAACATATGACCTTTTATAAGTAATGACCTTGTGTGTAAGGCACAAAAGATTAGCAGGCACAAGTGTCTGTCTGTCTTTCTCAGCAGTAAGTCAAGACCACTTTCCATAAGCATGAAAGTAGCTAAATTACACTTAATGTTTTAAATTTCTAAGCACAGTCTAAAAGACAATACTACATAAATCTTTATTCCAAGAACCACAATTTGGGGGGTAAAGATATTAATAATAAAGAGCTCTTGGAAAATATAGGTTACACATTTTCAACAGTAATATTCCTGCTTTCCTTGCCATTCTATACGGAAACCACTTTTAACCCAACTCACAGTTTAGAGCAAATTTCCGGCTTATGAAATTTACTTACATAAAAGATCAAATGAAACAGATAAGTAGAATAAATCCAACTTCAAATTAATTGTCAGTGTGTCACTGTTAACATCTGAAAATTTACCAGCTACCCCTTGACCTAAAAATATAGTGTAAAAGACTAATGACCAGCAGGGATAAAGAAATATCCTCTATGTCCCAAGAAGGGGACCCAGGTAAGAAAGAAAGACCAGAACATGTACTTTACAGTTGCTAAATGTTTAAAAAATTGAACTGAGCTGGGAAAGTATGTAGAGCTACAAGTTATCTGAATTATATACCCCAACAAACCTCCAAAGGCTACCAATAATAATAAGGTAGGGAGTGGAAAGATATGCATGAGAAAAGTGAGTCAATGTCAGATTAAAGATGCATTTACTTACAATTTTTTGTCTGTATCTTATTTTTTGAGATGGCACTGCTAACTACACTATATGATTTAGGACAACAGGTTCACACTTCCACCTCTTCAGATGCATGTTACCATACCCACTACCAAAGCACCCATAATCCTCCCATCAGGGTAGAAATACTTCTCAGATACATTATATTCCTTTTTATATTCCCAGAGACAGTATTCTGAACGCAATTTAATTTTGTCAATTTAATTTTGTCATCACAATGCAGGGTGATCAGAATATTAAATGGGAATTTCAGGACCGATCAAGTCTTCCAAGGTTATTAATCTCCACACTAATGGTCTTGAACCACAGGAACTAAATTTCATTCAGTAATTTCTTGCCATTCATCCCTAACTTTCTACAGCATTAGTCAGCTATTACTTAAATAATGTCCATGGTAGGTGTCCCTTTCAATTGGTTACTTACAATTTGCTGTGAATCTGAAATGCCAGGCTGGTTATTCTACATATAAAACAATACAAAAAATGGGCTCTAATGAAGACGTAAGAAAAATTCTTTAATTAATAAAATCTAAGCTCAAATAGGCAAACCTTTTGAACCCTATACTTTAAGACCACTTCATTAAGGTGAATTACTTCTAAACATTTAAAGACAGTAAAAGTAATAACAAAAACCTTTTTTTCTGATAATCAAAAAAAAAAAAAAATCAATGAATCTTAACCTAGTTCAAGGAGTTCAAGAATTTGGATTTTGTAAAAAGGAGTGTGAACGTCTGAAAATTACATACAAAACTGTGCTAGTTTGAGTATTTCTTTGAGCAGAATCTATAGCTTTCATTAGATTTAAATGACTCAAATATATATATAAATTATTTCTCTAATTTAATAGTTTTCAACCAAGATCATACATTAAAATGAGAGCTTTTAAATACTACCTATATTCTGCTCTTAATGAAGAACAATTACATATAATTCTGAAAAAAGGTCCTTGCTATCAGTAATTTTTTTTAACATTCTCCAGGAGATTCTAATTTAAAAGTAGGCTGTGAACCACTACTTTGAATTGCAGATTTCAACAAAGGTACAAGAGTTAAATTTCCTGAATAAATCAATAAATTCATCAATAAATTCATCAACAAATCAATAAATTCATCAATAAATCACAAAACAGTAGAAACATAAAGAGTTCATATTCATTTGTTTTACCTTTGAATTTACTTTATATCAGCCAGATTTTCAACTGAAAACCTCAAAATACCTGTGTTAGTTGCCTTTTGTGATTTTCCCAGCTAATCATGGAAACTATGAAAGAGTACTAAGAAACTACATTTATTAATTATCAACAAAGAATTCCTCCAAAACATCAGCCCCTAACCCGGAATGTACATTAGAATCACCTCAGAAGTTTTGTTTTGTTTTAATACAAAGCAATTCCTCCCTATTTAATACATGGTAAGTAAGAATCTTGAAGAGGGCCTCCCCTGGTGGCGTAGTGGTTGAGCGCTGGGCTGTGAAGCTGCCCGCAGCCTCCGCAGCACCAGTTCGGGTCCCACGTGGTGCGCAGACCTCTCCTGCCGCACCCGCTGCTCCCCTCAGTAGTGTATTTCGTCGATCTGCCTGTTCTGTTCCCCACTCTGGCTCTGGTGAATTCTCTCACCCTCCCACGCTTCTGACTGTACCCAGTGCTTGTATAAATAAAATAAATATATCTTTTTTTAAAAAAAATGAATCCTGAGGAACTTAAAACATAAAATAAAAAGCAAAACTAATTTTGAAGAGTCAATCAAGTTTGGGAACCACTGCCTGAGTGAACCCATAGACCCTAACAGGTAGCTGGATACTCTCCTATAAAATAGTCACATACCTTCTGACTGACTTGAGACTTGGTATCTTTAGAAGAAACTGCATTCTTTGCACGTAAGAGACTGATATCATCAAAATCTGTGCATTTCGGCAGAACTGGAAATCTCTCTTGAAGAGGTTCTGTCTGAACTCGATTTTGAGGAAGGGCAGAATCACAGCAGAATTCTTTCAGTTTCTCCAGAGACTTTAAAACACTCCTGCTCCTCAGACATTTCTTTGATTCTTAGCAAATCAGAAGAAAATACAACAATGGTATTTGGGTTTCATATGCCAATTCATAACTAACTCAGGGTTGTTAAAGAGGGTGCTTCTTACTAAAGCAATGATTCTAATTATAATGTGATATGAAAAAAGAAATTGACAAACAACAATCTTAAGTCAGTGACAAAAAAAACCAAGAAACAACCCTTTACAACACAAAATGCTTTAAAGGCTCAGGAATTTGGGCACCAGTACTCTGGAAAAGGAGTGACAGGAAATTCTACAATAAAGAGGACTAGTTCAAAGTAATCTGATCTGTCAGCTCCTCTCCTACTTCAAGCTTAAGGGCAGCTGTCCTTCCTCCACTTCACTGAAAGCAGACCTCAAGAAAGGGATTAAGGGGCCTTTCACTGTCCACCTTCTACATTTCAATATTGCTTGAAATTTTGATAACAGTATTCTACTTTTATAATCAGTACAAACATTAGCTAAAGAGAATAAATGGGAAAACTAGCAAAACTTCAGAATCTAGCTCTTAATTCCAATTCCCCAACCTCCTACACATACCACCACCACTTATGAAGGGGCTACTCTATTCAAACACAATGGCGCCCTTCATCCATAAATGAAAAACGGCCTAACTCTTCATTAGGCTCCTCTGTACATGACAGAATACAAGCATATCATAGCCATGGTTGGTAGGAAAAAAGATTCATTGCCCCATAACTCACCGGTTTTCCCAGACATCAGCAAATCAATTCCTCTTTCCTTTTCTTGGACTTTTTTTGCTTTCTTTTTAACAGGTCCATCACTGTCCAGTGGTCTCTTTTTACTTCTATCAATTTCTGTAATCTGTATCAGGAAGGATAGAAAATGATGTGTTAGCACTAATCTCAAAACTTGATGTATATGAAATAAATCTTAACTCTGAATGACAGCAATTCCTTGTCATCCACCCTTCACAGAAGCATCTATGGTACTTTTAACTATCTAAAATCCTAGGCGTGAAATTTTTTTATCACCATGAAAGACATGGTGGACACTGGTAGGTCACACACCTCAGCACCTCAAGTCATGCTTGAATGAATTTGAACCAGGGCTGCTACCTTGTTTCACTCAATCAACCTATACCTATTCCAAATTACAAAACCTGAATCATCCTACTTTCACGTTAAATCAAATGCTTTTAAGAAAAACAAAAAATTTATTTAGAAAAAAATAAAATTAAGATAAATAATGAAAATACATCATTTTTGAAATGTTAATTGTAAGTTAACTATTTTATGTTCACCACAGAAGATGTCACAAGATTATGAAGTACTTGTTGGCAGGAACCTGTTAAAAACTTAAGTCCTTTACCAAATAGCCTCAAAATGGTGGGCATAAAATAAAATCCTGGTGAATTCACAGAAATAAAAGTTATTGTCAAAAGTACAAAGACAGGAGAGATATAATCACTTTATGAACATAAATGAATGGAACAAGATTTGTGAAACAGTCAAGCTGTCACTGAAAACGTATTAAGACTTGAGCATTTGGGTCATTTCCAAAGCTTAGCTATGGAAATAGCGCTGCCATAAACATAGGGTGCAGGTGCCCTTTTGTTTCTGTGTCCTTTGGGTAAATACCTAGGAGTGGAATTGCTGGATCTTATGGAAGCTCTATGTTTAGTAGGTCCAAAAATCTCCACACAGCTTTCCATAGTGGTTGGACCATTGTGCACTCCCACCAGCAGTGCAGGATCAAGAAGATGTGGTACATATACACAAGGGTATATTACTCAGCAATCAAAAAAGATAAACTCATGCAATTTGCAGCAACATGCATGGAGCTGGAAGGGATCATGCTCAGCGAAACTGGCCAGAAAAAGAAAAATACCGGATGGTCTCACTCATAGCAGGAATTTAGAAAACCTAAATAAGGGACCAGGAAAAAGACTAATTATAATAAAGAAAAAATCAAAATCAACAAGCAACTGTAGACCAGAGACATACTACTGGGGGCAGGGGGAAGAAAAGAGGGATTAGGGTCAAAATAAAGGGGGTGGAAATTGTATGGGGAATATAACTAAAATGAAAATGCATACATTGTGCAAAAATGAAAAATAATGAAAGAATTATATAAAATAAAATAATAATTAAAAATAAATAATAAAAAAAAGTATTAAGACTTGACAGGTGGCTAAAAGACAATCTGCAATCTCCTCCCACATCTTCAGTTTAAGAAATACATTACGAGAGCAGCACAGTGTGGGGTCATTCTCAGGATTTCCCTTATGGCAGTGTCCATGATTTTACAAAATGTATTTTAAAAACGTAAAAATAACTACGCATTTTACTCAGTGGAAGGAAGGACCGGATGCCTATCACATCTTCACTTAAGAAACTTTACTCAGCCAAATTGTGAATCAGACTTTATCGTCCGAACTACAAGGGCTGGAGTCACTGAAGAACTACACAAAGTAACTGCCTTGACGCTTAGTAGCTTGAAATACTGAGCAATGCTGCCCCCGTCTTAACTAGAAATTAGGCGGCATTTTTTCTTCTAGTAACCTAACCAAACACGTATCTATAACACAAATAAAACTCGTCAACCTTCAAACCAGAAAGAAAAAAAGAGATGAAGGTTAAAAGATGTACCCTAAGCCCTCGGGCTCCTATTCTCAACAGAACTGGAGTCAAAAGACCTGAATTTCGGGTTTCCCTGGTGGCGCAAGGAGTTAAGACGTAACCTATGAAGCTGTCTGCAGCCACTGCAGCACAAGTTCGATCCCCGGTCAGGGAGCTACCCACATGGCGCAGCAGGCCTCTCCTGTCTCGCCCGCTGCTCCCCTCAGCAGTGTATTTCGTCAGCCTGCCTGTTCTGTTCCCCGCTCTGTCTCTGGTGAATCCTCTCACCCCACATCTCTGGCCTGTACCCCAATTCTTCTATGTAAATTTAAAAAAATCTTAAAAGGAAAAAAAACCGTGAATTTCTATCTCAGGACTGTTAATACAAACCCGTGTCCTTGGCTTTAACTCCATTTCCCCAATGGAAACTTTACTCTGACCGACACCAAGGACAGAGGCCCTCCCGGCTTTTCCCGCCTTCTCCCGGGGTCCAGCCTCTTTCCCGTTCGGCCGCGTCCTCACGCCGATTCTCGCGCGCCGCCCCGCCTCCTTCCTCACCAGGCGCAAGCCCCGCCCCCGCCCCGTCTAGCCCCGCCCCTTCCTGGACCAAACCTACCGCGCGCGGCGGCATCTGAGACGGGAAAGTGGACGCAGGGGGCGCTGTGGAGTCAGAGGCGGGGTGCGCCTCCTCAGCTGCACCTGTGGGGGAGGCGCTGGATTTCAGGATGCCCGTGGAGTGGAAGAATCTGCTCAAGACCGCCTGCCTCCCGGAGGCAGGGCCTGCGGCTGCGGCGCCGCCATGGGCCGGTTTCCGACCTGACATGGCATGCAGGGAGAGGAGCCGGGGCCTGGGGTCGAGACGGGAGCACGAGCCCGCGGCCGCAGCTCCGGGCGTCTGCGCGCGCGCGCACGTCACGACCCTGCAGTGCGCCGGCGCGGGGGGGCGGAGTCTCGCCTGAGCCAATGGGGCCAGGGGGCGGGGAGGCCACGAGCGCGCCCGGAGCGTGGCGGGGAATCTGGCTGTCTCCAGCGAGCTCCCCTGTGCCTGCGGCGCTGGCATGGTTCGTCCGCTCAACTGCATCGTCGCGGTGTCCCAGAACATGGGCATCGGCAAGAACGGGGACCTGCCCTGGCCCCCGCTCAGGTACCTGTCTGGCCGGGGTGGAGGTACCTGGGAGGACAGAGGCTGGCGCGGCTCCCGGGATCCCCGCGCTGAGCCGTGCAGCCGCCGACCTGTTCTCCGCGCTCGGACGGAATCGGACACGGGACGGGACATGAGTGGACGGCCTTGGGCCTCGGCTCCATTGCGCGTCAGGAGCCGCTGCCCCACGAGGCCTCTTCCCCGCGATGCCCTGCCCCAGAGCGAAGTCCCAGCCCTACGATTTCCCCCGTGCACCGTTTGTCTGGCGCCTTAAAGCCTGAGCCCATGGGGTCGCGTCCTGAATAACGCCTTGTTTCTCTAACTTGTAGAAATGAATTCAATTATTTCCGAAGAATGACCACAACTTCCTCAGTGGAAGGTAATGTGGGGTCTTTAAATGATTTGCTATTCGAGAAGGAACTTGCTAAAGTTTGCCAGTGCAAATTTTACTTAAGTAAAAAAAGTTTTCTGTGTTAAGCTGAAACCTTTTACCTTTGATCTGTTTGCAATTCCCAAGGTTCAGTGAACCTCCTTTATTGTGTGTGTGTGTGTGTGTGTGTGTGTGTGTTTTTAAGTTATTTGGCATTTCCTGTGAGTGCTGGTACAGTTGATGTATTGGGCAAAATTGGCAGAGGATTTGGTGGAGATTAGTTTTCTGAAAGATCAGAGGACCCCTTAGGAATAGTTGATGGCAGTGATGAGAACAATGGAGAGGAAAGAATAAAAGTTTTTTAAAAAGCGGTTATATGATAATCGATTTGGAGAGCAGGAACGGAAAGGAGATCCAGGAAGGCATCGAGGATGAACTCTCAAGTTTGATGTAGAGAATAGTATGCAGTTGTAATGATGATGATTTTGAGGTGCCTATAGGATATCCAGGATAATTTCAGGCGCAGAAAACTTGATGATTTGAGCCACTGGACAGAACAGTATAACCAAAGAAAAGAATTGGGAGTGGGGAGATACGCTATTTAAAACCTAAGAAATACATGTATTTGGTCATAGGAGGAAGAATAGCATAGGAAACTGAAACAATAAGTCAGAAAATAGTAAGTGCAATATAATTTTACAGGGCAGATCAAGGCCTTTGGATTTGGAATTTGGGCTACTGGAAAGACAAGATGGCAAGAGCCTGAAGCTCAAAAATTCATAGGAACTACTTTCAAGAGTTCCAAGTAGGTTTGGAAGAGTAGGTCTGGAAGACCCACTTGGTGTCTTGGCTTTTTTTTTTTTTTTTAATATTTAGCTACCCTATATCTTTATCATGATCTCCACTTAGTTGTTAGGCCAAATCTGTGCCATTTCCCTCATCAGAATTCCTCACCTGTTGACTCTTAGTTTTAATAATTGATAACTCTTCATTGAACACCTAAAACTCTGCCTTTGAAAATGCAGTACATGTGGTATTCAGAGTACTATGTATTATAAGGGGAGGGGGGATGGTTTATTCTTGGAGGGAAAAAGAAATTCTGACATTTACAGGCAATATAGAAAATGCTTAATCTTATAGTTTGTGTTAGTGGTTTTGTTTAAACAAAATCAAACTAATGATTCTTTAAGAAAACATATATGCACTCTTGCTGGGTTGTGAAGCTGCCCACAGCCTCTGCAGCGCCGGTTCGATCCCCAGCTGCTCCCCAGCCACCAGAGGAGGGTCCCACATGGCGCGCAGACCTCTCCTGCTGCCCGCTGCTCCCCTTAGCAGTGTACTTCGATACTTCTGCCTGCTCTGCTTCCCGCTCTGGCTCTGGTGAATTCTCTCACCCTCCTGCACTTCTGACTGTACCCAGTGCTTGTATGTATAAATAAATAAATAAAATCTTTAAAAAAAAAACAAGAAAACATATATGCACTCTTTTTGGTAATCAGACACATCAGGAATCAGAAATGTGTATATTCCTTTGACGCAGATATCTCACTCCCAAGGGTATTTTCTCTTAAGGGACTGGAAAAATGAAAGCTGTATACCAAGTTTTTATAGATGCATTATACTTAGAAGGAGAGGGCACAGTTGACAATATTTTAAGCTAATTAAGTAGAACCATAGCTATCTTTGAAAGTATGACTTAGCATAAAGCTAGAGTAAACAAATATGAATATTACTGTCAAATAGCTATAATACTTATTACATGCTGAACACTGTTCTGTCTTCCACCCACACACAACAACCCTAGAAGTAGAAACTATTGTTATCTCTATTTTATAGATAAGAAAAAATAAGGTTTAGAAGTTTTATAAGACATTCTAACAAATGACAAACAAAATACATTCAATTTGAGCACTTTAGCCCAGTTTTTGCTTTTAACTGTATAGTATACATGACTGCAATTCATTAAAACTATATATTAGCTATAAATTGGTTAAAGGAAAAATACTATGTTGCGGTTATAAGTGATAATGTAAAATTTCAAATTTTAATTTATTTAATCTTTTTTGTATTTGGCGGAGGTTTTAATGTGTTAATTTTTTTCAGATTTTAATTTGTTAAAATCAGTCCACTAGATGTCACTATGACATAAATTTCTGTGCCTATACATGAATACATGAAAGTGTGTGTGTATGTGTGTGTGTGTATTCCCAAATATACTTATTCTTTGTGATTTTATAGGTAAACAGAATTTGGTGATTATGGGTAGGAAGACTTGGTTCTCCATTCCTGAGAAAAGTCGGCCTTTAAAAGACAGAATTAATTTAGTTCTCAGTAGAGAACTCAAGTAAGTACTATTCTGTAATTTCTCCGCAAGAAAATCATGTCCTATTTCTTATGGTGGAGGTCAAAGTATGACAAAATAAAATAGTATGACTATAGCTATTGATGAAGCTGCTTTATATCATAAAAATGATTATAGGAAGTTATTGCCACATGACAATATCACTTACTCTGCTACTTAAGTAATTGATTTCATCACCTTGAAAAGTTACATTGTCTCACTATGGTAACCCATTTATGTTTCTTTGTACCATTGTTCAATAGACTCAAATATCACTTGTACAATGTAACTAATAACTAACTTTTACATAGTTTCATATAAAATCAATTTATATGTTTTAGGACTTGGCAAAATTAAGTGGCTCTCCCCTCTCTAGATCCAATCCTAAAATTAAAACTTTATGATGGGCTAAACATTGTTCATAATCTTGTGCCCTGTAATTCCTCGTTTACCACAACACTACTAAAAATTTTCCTGTCCTTCAACCTAACATTGGAGTAGATAATTCCTGATGCCTAGAAAGGCCCTGTGGTCTTAGGTGGACTGGAAGAGTAGTTAATAGTATTAAGACTGCCCACGAAGTGAACTCCAGTGGCTTAACCTTCACCATGGCTTCCATGTCATTTATTCCACACAAGATGTGTCCGACTTCTATTTTATTTTTGTTATTGTTGTCTACATTGATATGAACCCCCTAAAATAAGTTCCCAAACCTCAGGATCTACAGGGGATTGGTGAACATTTGAAGTGAATTAGACCTTAAAGTTTGGGAATGGCATGGTAATCACTCTTCCTTAAACTGATAATGTTATCACCCAAAAAAAGAATGTGGTATCTTAGAGCACTGCTTGCTTAAGAACATTGGTTCTATTAGTGCCATGTATATAGTAAGGGTTCACCAGAGAAGCAGAACCAGCAGCATGTATGTACACACATGCATACGTTTTATTGCAAGAAATTGGTGTACACAATTGTGGGGGCTTACTAAACAACCCAAAAATCTGTAGAGCAGATCATCAGGAAGGGCAGAGACTGAAGCTGCTATTTGTCCAAAGGTCAACTTTCTTCAGGCAAGCCTCAGATTTGCTCTTAAGGCCTTTCAACTGATTGAATCAAGCCCACCCTGATTAAAGTTATCTAATTATTGACTTTAATCACATCTACAAAACACCTTCACAATACCTAGATTAGTGGTTAAATAAGGGCTATATCCTACCCAAATGAACATAATAAAGACCACCAAACCAGGGAAGGAAAAAACATTACACAAATAGGCTAAGAGGATTCAGGCTTTCTTAGATTTTTCTCCCAAATCACTTGTAGAATGAAATAGGTGAAAACCTGGAAGAAAGTACCAGAATATTGGATTGATTCCCTTTGGGTGATGGTGAATATGTTGATGTGTATCTTAACCATCTGCCTCAATCTTAATACTATTCACTTTGTCCTGGTTGCTAGGATATTCTGATGACCTTTTTAGTTGAAGGGATCCAAATTCAGAGATTGTATTGCCATTCTCAGAGACTCTTTAATAACATATTTTTGAATACTACTCAAGTTTATTTATGGCTAGCTTGAGCTAAAACAAACATAAAGAAATCTCAGTGGGAAAGATATTTAGTTGAGCCAGCAAATCTCCTCAAATGATGAGTCTAATTTCTTCTTTATGACCCCCCTGTGGTGAATATAATTGGGTTTGGTTGTTTCTTATGTATTTATATATGACATTTGTTGGTGTAGTTTGCATTTTTTTCAAGGCATAGAAAAATTTAAGTTTTTATTTCAAGCATGCAAAGGAACTAGGAATATAGTTAGGAAAAAATTTTACAGTTTATTTTTTGTCTTTCTGCTTGCTGGTCAATTCCACACATATCCTGAGTACCTGCTGTATGCCAAGCACTGCTAGATCCAAAATAAATAGGGAGAGATTTATACATTTAAATTACTATTGCTTGTGAAAGCTTTTAGAGATACCTAATTTTCTACCTACCACCCCTCAATGTAAGAAACTGAATCCTCAAGGTAACCCCAAAATTGCTGCCAGATACTAGTCATTTGGAGTAAATATTTCCTTAGTAATTTCTAAGATACCTCTTCTAAATTTTCTTCATATGTCAGTTCCTAAATCACCATTTTCCATTTTACCCTCCTCACTTCAACATCCTCAGTTACTAAAATTGCCTTCACTCTGTTTCAATTATTCTGGACTTTGTCTTGTTTTGTTTTGTTTTTTAAGATTGATTTATTTATGCATACAAGAACTGGGATACAGGCCAGCGGTGCGGGGGTTGAAAGGATTAACCAGAGACAGAGTAGGGAACAGAACAGGCAGATCTATTGAAATATAGTGCTGAGGGGAGCACCGGGTAGGTCAAGAGAGGTCTGCTGCACCATGTGGGTCACCTCCCTAGCCAGGGATCAAACTAGTGCTGCAGTGGCTGTGGATAGCTTCATAGTGCTGTGTCTTAACCCCTTGTACCACCAGGGAGGCCCCCTCTGGACTTTGTTTATTAACTAAGCTACCTTCTCCACAAACTCCAAATCTGTTTCTTCTGTATTTAATTATTCCCCTGAACAGCAGCTGCCCTGATACCTTAAAAGATCCCTTTCTTGGCTCACTTAACATCATCCTGGCTTCCTTGTCTTTTTTCACCGTTGAGTCAAAATATATTCTTGGCACTATCTTAAACCCTTTAGAGATGACAAATAGTGAAATAAGTATATATATCGAGGAGATGAGGGAAGAGGCAGCCAGGAGAATGAATAAGTCCCCATTAGCTCTTGATTAATTATTGATATCACTAATAGTTCAAAGGCAATTATATGATTTTTAAAGCATCAGCCTAAGAACTTGACATTAAATTGTATGTTCTCTGTCCAATTACTGTGAAAGCTTAATTCTGCATGTCTCTTCACTTATAAAGAGATTTGCAGCCCTTCTCCCTGCGCACCCAAAAAAATTTTGGAGCTGGGAGAGATTGAGCTGGTCAATGTAAACACTCAAATTAATTAATGTTCTCCCTTTTGGGTTTTTAATTACACAAGTAATAACATGTTCATTTTTAAGTACATCATCCATTTCCATATTGTTTGAAACATAAAAATCCTTTCCCTACCCCCCAAAGGTAACCACATAGTAACAGTTTGAGTATCATACCAAACTATTATCATTCAAACTATTACTATTTTACTCACATTTTATCATGAAAACCTTCTAACATAGAGTGACTTTATTTAGTAAACACCTGTATAGCTATTACACAGATTCTTCTATTATCATTTTACTATGGTTGTTTTATCATACATTCATCATCATTCTTGTTCTTTTTAAGCATTTCAAAATAAATTGCAGACATAGTATATTTTTCCATAAATACTTGAACACATATATCATTAACTAGAGTTCAGTATTTCTTTACAGTTTTTCTTTGACATAAACATTATATCCAATGATATGTTACAAGTCTTAAGTGTACATTTGCTAGGTTTTGACAAATGGGTACACCTATATAATCGCATGTCAAAGATACAGAACATTCCATCACCAAGCAAAAGTTCCCTTTATACCCTTCCTTATGAATGTTTACCCCATCCCTCTAGAATCTGGTTTTCATCCACCATATGTATCATGAAGTATCCAAAGTATTATTTTTTTATTTCATTGTCTACCATACCTATGCAAATATGGGTTGAACTATTTTTCATAGGCCATCCTCATGTTAAGTGCTTTTTGTGAAAGTATTCCTATTTATGATGATTTTAGCTTCATAATGACTGCATCCTATTCAGAATATTTGACTAATATGAATGAGTTTTAATAAAGTTATTTGTAATTCTCTTTTTTAACCTCAGGGAACCTCCACTAGGAGCTCATTATCTTGCCAAAAGTCTGGATGATGCCTTAAAACTTATCCAGCAACCAGAATTAACAAACAAAGTAGACATGGTTTGGATAGTGGGAGGCAGTTCTGTTTATAAGGTAAGTAAAGTTTATCTGTAAATATAAACAAACATTCTACCTTACTTTATTTTAGCTTCCCTGCCATCTGGACTTTAAAAAAATTTAGCATAAGTAAAGGAACCACATAATCCCTATTGTGAGTAAGACATATTATCAACTTGAATTCTTTGTTTCATTGATACTATTATGCAAATTAAATGCAAAAAGTAAGTCTTTAAGTTTTACAACTCTTATTTTCAATTAAAAATTTTTGATGTTTCCAATTTAAAAAACATTTCAAGCCCATACCTTAGAATTTTGCTTCCCTTAGTGTTCTGTTTGCTACTCCTGGATGTGCCCTAGGTACACCGAGTTAGCCCCTTTTCTTTAAGGATAAATGTGTCTTATTAAGAAAGGGATGGGCTCTCAGTTGCTATACACTGACTAGTGGCATATGAATTTTTACTAGCAGAAAACTTTGCCTCAACAATTTTCATTTAAAATGGGGGCCTGAGAAAACAGTCATGTGATTTTCTAAGGGAAAATAGTATGTAAATGAGAAAATATTCCCTTTTTATGGGTACCAAATGACTGACCCCCCCCCAAAAAGATGAGGATAGTAAATAGTGTTCTTTGACTCTTCTGAAATACTAATAAATAGTTAACATTTATGGGAATGAAAAGTTCAGCCTCTATCCTTTGATGGATTGTGGTAACATAGGTACATTAAAATTAATTTTTAAAAAAGTGGTATACCAGGATCCCGGATGGGATCATAAAGAACTCTGTTTCTTAGATTCCTATTTCTACAACTTTTATTTTTTTCTCATTTGTAATAGGGGAGAAATGGTTACCTTCTTTTGATCATTCAGCCAAGTATGAATATTTAAGAAAACATTCAGCTCTTTATTTGGTTCAGTATTCATTTTGAAGATCAATACCATGTGCATTCAAAAATGTTTTCTTTAGGGCATCTGTGGTGACCTTGTGATATTACGGCCAGGGAGCTAACCCACATGGCTTAGCAGACCTTTTTTGTCTCACCCGTTGCTCCCCTTAGTAGTATAGTTTAGTAGATCTGCTGCTTCTGCTCCCCACTCAGTCTCAGGAGAATCCTCTCACCACCACCCCACCTCTGGCCTATACCCCTGTTTTTCTCTGCAAAAATAAAGTTTTTAAAAACTAAATAAAAAATAAAAATGTATTCTTTAAACAGTATAAATACTTAAAAACAAGTCATTTTTACAACTTGATATATTTATATGCATATAATAATGAAGTAGCACCTTTAGGTGATAACTTTGCATTATCTACCTCATATCATAGCTTATAGAACATTTAGGCTTATCTTTTCCTTTGCCAAATTGGCCTGCCAGCTTATTTTTGCAAATAAAGTATCACTGGAACACAGCCACACCCATTGGTTTAATGTTGTGTATGGTCCACAAAGCCTAAAATATTTACCATCTGACCTTTTACAGAAAAGCCTTGCCATGTGTCTTTAACTTTGATACAGATCTTCAAATGCTGCTGTGATTAGTCCCATCCATTTTTGGTACAATAAGAATTAATAGAATATTTATTTGGTTGGGGCAAGAGAATAAAGGATTTGATATAAATTGTGGTATTGAAAATAAAAATGGAACTTTATTCCATGCCCTTATTTGAAATGTTGATGATAACAAACATCTGAAATCATATATGTATGTGTTTCCTATAAGATATTTGATAGTCCCCCGTTTTTTTTGGGTTTAGTGTTCTATAGATGTCTGTTAAGCCCAATTGCTCTAGGTCCTTATTTAGAGCTTTAGTTTCTTTACTTATTTTTTGTCTTGTTGATCTATCCATTGTTGATAGTGGTGTGTTGAAGTCTCCCACTACGTATGTGTTTTCTCTGATGTCTGTTTTCAGAGAGGACAACAGTTGTCTGATATATTTTGGTGCTCTTTCGTTTGGTGAGTATATGTTAATGAGTGTTATTTCTTCTTGAAGTATTGTCCCCTTAATCATAATGTAGTGACCATTGGGGTCTCTTTTTATTTTTTTGAGTTTGAAGTCTGTTTTATCTGATATAAGTATAGCTGTTCCTGCTTTCTTTTTTGGCCCATTTGCTTGTAGGATTGTTTTCCATCCTTTGACTTTGAGCCTATTTTTATCTTTTGTAGCTAAATGTGTTTCCTGGAGACAGCAAAAGGTTGGGTTTTGTTTCTTAATCCAGGCTGCAACTCTGTGTCTTTTTATTGAAGAGTTTAGTCCATTTACATTTAGAGTTAATATTGATATGTTAGCATCTGTATTTGCCATTATGTTTGTCTTTCCTTTGATTTTATTTATTCTTTTAATAACTTTTTTTTTTTTTTTTTTGGTCTTCTTTCGTTGTTATTCGTCCCTCTGAGGTTCTGGCTTTAGGATTCCTTGTAGTATTTTTTGGAGTGGGGGTTTATTCGTAATGAAATTCCAGAGTTTCTCTTTGTCTGGGAAGGTCCATATTCTTTCTTCATGGAGGAAAGAGAGCTTTGCGGGATAGAGTATTCTTGGTTGGCATCTGTTTTCTTGGAGTCTGTTGACTATGTCCCTCCACTCTCTCCTTGCCCGTAGTGTTTCTTCAGAGAAGTCTGATGTCAGCCTGATTGGTTTTCCTTTGAATGTTATCTGTTTCTTCCCTCTTGTCAGCTTCATTATTTTTTCCTTGTCCTGGATTCTTGGGAGCTTTACTATTATGTGTCTTGCTGTGTTTTTCCTTTCGTCGTGGAAGTTTGGTGTTCTTCTTGCTTCTTGTATATCAATTTTCAGCTCCTTCTTCGCATTTGGGAAGTTCTCTTCAATTATCTCCTGGAATATTTTCTCTGTTCCTACATCTCTCTCCTCTCCTTCTGGAATTCCTATAACTCTTATATTTCCTTTCCTCATGGAGTCAGATAGTTCCCGAAGTCTTTCTTCATTCTTTTTCCTTCGTACTTCTCTTTCCTTTTCTGTTTTGGTTCTTTTTATTTCGGTGTCTTCAAGAGAACTTATTCGTTCTTCCATTTCATCTATTCTGCTTTCCTTGCTTTTCCCGGAGTTCTTTAGTTCCTCCATTAATTCTTTGATCTCCTGCATTTCTTTTACTTCCCTCTTTAGGGACTCAATTTCATTCTTCTGACCATTGTTTTCCCTCTTTAGGGACTCAATTTCTTTCTTCTGATCTATCACTTTTTTAATCATGGCAATTTTAAATTCTCTTTCTGGAAGGCTCAGAAGTTCTTCCAAGTTGCTGTCGTTGCAATCTGGGGAGTGGTTTTCTTTTTGTGGTGTGCTTCTTTCCTGAGGAGTTGTTAGGTTGCGTGTGGTTCTTCTACTCCCTACTGTCTGTTTTCTAATTTGTCGTATGCGTTGGGACACTGTGTTGCTAGGACTGACTGGCATCTTGGGTGAACTTCTCCGCTCCCCTCTGGCTCTTCCAGAGCCATCTCTGTCTTCTGGGGGAGCTTTCTGCTGGTTTTAGGCAGTTTTTACTGAAGAAATGTCCCTGTTCTCAAATGGCGAAGCGGGATGCAGTCCCTGCGCCTCCGGTTTCAGGCACACTCTTCTGCGCCCCCGGTCTGTACACATTTTTCTCAAGCGCACACGGATCATTCTCCAGGATTGATCACATACTGGGGCACAAGACAAACATCAACAGATACACCAAGATTGAAATCATACCAACCATCTTTTCTGACCACGAAGGCATCAAACTAGAAATAAATCATAAAAAGAAGGCAAGGAACTATCCTACCTCATGGAGATTAAAAGCCACACTACTGGAAGACCACTGGACTAACGAGGAGATCAAAGAAGAAATTAAAAAATTCTTTGAATTGAATGACAAGGAGGACACCAATATCCTAAATGTATGGGATGCAGCAAAAGCAGTAATAAGAGGAAAATATATAGCAATAGAAGCTCACATCAAAAAACAAGAAAGAACTCAAAGAAACAACCTAATCTCGAAGCTCAAAGATCTAGAAAAAGAACAACAAAAAAACCCCAAATCCAGTAGAAGAAAAGAAATAATAAAAACCAAAGCTGAAATAAATGAAATTGAAACTAAAAAAACAATCCAAAAGATCAATGAAACCAAGAGCTGGTTCTTTGAAAAAATAAATAAAATAGACAAACCCCTAGCCAGGCTCACAAAGGAAAAAAGGGAGAAAGCACAAATACACAGGATCATAAATGAAAGAGGAGAAATCACAACGGACACAGCAGAAATCAAAAGAATAATCAGTAACTACTATGAACAGTTATATGGAAACAAGTTCAACAATCTAGAGGAGATGGACAAATTCCTACAACTCTACAATCACCCAAAGCTAGATAAAGAAGAAATAGAACACCTAAACAGACCAATTACAAGCAGCGAAATTGAAATGGTAATCAAAAACCTCCCCAAAAACAAAAGCCCAGGACCTGATGGATTTACAAATGAATTCTACCAAACATTCAGAGACGAATTAGTGCCTATCCTTCACAAACTCTTCCAAAAAATTGAGAAGGAAGGGACAATACCAAACACGTTCTATGAAGCCAACATTACACTAATACCAAAACCGAATAAGGACAACACAAAAAAGGAAAACTATAGGCCAATCTCCCTAATGAACACTGATGCAAAAATCCTCAATAAAATTTTAGCTATCAGAATCCAACAATGTATCCATAAGATAATTCACCACGACCAAGTTGGATTCATTCCAGGAGCACAAGGATGGTTTAACATCCGAAAATCAATCAACGTTATCCAACACATCAACAAAAAGAAATATAAAAACCATATGATAATATCAATAGATGCTGAGAAAGCTTTCGACAAAGTGCAACACCCATTCATGATACAAGGAACATACCTCAACATCATAAAGGCCATCTATGACAAGCCAACAGCCAGTATCATTCTCAATGGTGAAAAGCTGAAAGCAATTCCATTAAGATCTGGAACAAGACAAGGATGTCCACTCTCACCACTGCTTTTCAATATAATACTGGAAGTCCTAGCCAGAGCAATAAGACAAGAGAAA